AAGATTTTCAGACGGTTTGCAGGGAAAACCAGTTTCTGCATGGATACGCAGAAGGTTTGAGAATAAGAGTTTCTGAGCTCTTATCAGAGAGGGACACGCTCATGAGAAAAGCCAGACGTGAGATTCAAACTAAGGAATCAGCCACCACAAAGAACAAAGAGGCTGAAACACCTAAAATTCAATTAATGGATCAGAAAGAGTTTCAAGAGGAAAAGAGACAAATTCTGGAAAGTAAAGCTTTGATAGAGGAGAAACGCACATTGGAAGCTCTGAGAGAGGAGCTCAAGATGGAGAAAAAGGGGATTGATCAGGCAAAAGTTCAATTAGAAGCAGAGAAAGGAGAGCTGCTTCAAGAAAAAGCACAACTGGCAGCAGAGAAGCAGCAACTAGAGGCTGCAACAGATGAAACTGCGCCGGAAATAGAGGAAATTAAGAACAGGGTAAAACAAGCCATTGAAAAACTTAAAGAAGAAAAGAAAAAACTTAAGAAGGACCTTAAAGAGATGGGGAATCATCAGGCAAATTATCTCAGGTGAATTATCTCAGTGAAGAAGCTTTAAGGATAACAATAAATGTTATGGTTCTGGTCTGGGGGGCAGACAAAAGAATTTTCCTGAATAAACATGAGAAATAATGAGAAGAGCAATGGTGTGTCCCAGTTTGATGCAGCCTCACTTCATTATATCTTTAATCTCAAATGTATATATTTATTAATAAATGTTCATTCACACTTCTTTTCAATCTCTATTCTACAGATATATAATATTATAATTACAGTCTTGCCATGTAATTCAATCTATTCCAACATGAATATACTTTAACACACACATTATCAGAACGTTGTTTTTTCACTTGGATAAATCTGAAGCTTTCCACACTATACCAAGCTTATGCAATCATTTGTGTATCAAATGAAATGCAATTCCCTTTTAGTATTGTTTGGTCTGCTAATCCATCTTTTTTCACATCTTCAACAATAATAATGCAGAACATTAAATCTACAAAATAAAATGTTTCTATAATGATCCTTGATGATGATAAAATAACCACTAAACTTTAAAATGTCTGGGATCTTACACCCATTACCTTTAGAGTCATAGACAAAAGGCTGGAGTGTCACCAATACACTTCTCATGCCTGCCCTATAAGAAGCATATGATCTGTTTACATGGTTAACTTTTTATTAAACTACTCAACCTTATGATATAAAGCAGCAAAATAATATACAGTCCTTTTAAATGTAATTTAGTATTTGTTTTGAACAATATTAACTGAATAAACAGGAGAAATAATGCAGCCTCACTTCATAGTATCAGGGGATCAATCCAGGTAAAGTATTGTAATTTTTTATAACTCATAATACCCTTTTAGCGAGGTAATGTTAATAATTCTATAGAAATGTATTGTGCAATATTTTGAATTTTATTTTATAATGTAATGTGTATTTCAGAACCTCCCAGGGCCTGCAGATTGAAATTAGAAATAGCCTAATCTGTTTTTATATTGTCCTCACAAAGTAAACTAATATGCTAAACTAATCATTAAAAAAGTCTTGTTTGGCTATTGCATCAAGTACACACTGCCTACCTGAAGACTTGTGATGAGTTGACTGACACAGCTGTTCCCAGTCAATAAAGTTTCTTTGGATTCTTTACAAAATCCTTGGCAATTTGGAATAGCTTCCAAGGGGTGTAAATATTTGGATAAGTCATTTTTTCTTCAGCTGCAAAGAAAAGCTAAACATGTTGTTTTTAAAGCCTATTTTCTACATTTTTTGAATTACAAGCTTAATCATAGATTTCACTTTCCTTTTTTTAGATAACTGTATGTCTATCTGAGTCTTTTCTTTCATTGAATTGTTTTGAGATCTTGCTTTATTCTTAGTTTGTTCTTCCTGTGCTCAGTAGCTTCTCCTTTTAATAACAATGCAGTCTCAAAATTCCCCTTTTACTTGTCTGCCAGAAACAGCAGAGGCTTGCTAATAACTATTATTCCACTAGGTGGCACTCTGACTTGAAATATGCAATTACAGTAAAAACTGAAGTTCCAGAAAGTCCTCTTGAAAAAAAATTAAAGTTGTTTCACTAAGCTCACCTACTTATTAAGTAAGGACACTGGTATGGACTGCAATAAAGCTGTTAATTATTTTACATCTGTTTAAATCTGATTTGATCATATTTAAGCATTTTAAGAAATGAATGCTTTAGATCTACTTAAACAGTTGCAGTTATTAGAATATCAGCTAATTTCAGACATTTAAAAATCTTTTTTTGTTCCTACATCTTGCAAATTTCTAAACAAAATTCTAAACTTGAATCACAGATTTTTATTTAATGAATAATTATTGCTTCTACAGCAGAAAAGGAATTAGAGGAAGAGCAATTTCTGATAAGAAAAACGAAAGAATAACTTCAAACAAAATAACAACAATGAGGAAATAAGTAGACGAAGAATTAAAATGACATCTAACATACTTTACCTTTATGTAATAGTTCAGATCTGGTGCTATGAAGGGGTGGTGCCTTGGCAACCTGATGGAAAGTACCTGGAAGCCCATCCGAAACCAAATCCTGAGAATGATCCTGTACCTTTGCCCAGTGTGGTAAATATAAACTGGGAGACAGTTAGGGGAAAACCTGGGTGGTTTTAGAAAAGACAACACACTTTTCTTATAAACTTTGCTTAATTAAATTGTGAGAAGAGTTTAAAAAAAGAAGAAAGTTGCATTGTGGCAAATATATCTTAAAAGCACTGAACCAAAGCTATACCAACACGTAAAGCAGATGCTCAGCTGATGCTTTCTTCCCACTACTGATAACCTGGGATCTCTCGGCCAGTTTGTTGCAAAGAGTAAATATATATGAACAGACTATAGAAAAAAATATATGTTACTGTGTGTTATCGTTTATATAGTATTCAAATAACATGGCCACCAATAACAACTCAGTATAAAGCAATTCTCATACTTTTCTTCATTCCTATAATCTATTTGGGGTTTTTTTAAACCCCGCCCCAACGAAAATGAAACCAACTAGTCCATTTATACCCATGTAACCTCTGCTGTTGCACAGTGCAGTCACCTCTCTCTACAGCTTTAACTCAGAAGCAGCCTCTCAGCTCATCAAAGAAGATACCATGGTGGTTCAGCTCCTCATCTGTTTTGAACAGAACAGAAAGCTTTCGGTTGAAGTTTGTCAGCATGTGAATGAGCTGGCAGAGACTCCTGTTCAACATCTGAAACAGAAAATACAGGAGAGACGGCCTGACACAGGTAAAAGGACCAAATATTTATTTGTGTGGGTTAACTCAGAGATGAAACAGATAAAAGAAGGAGAATTCTGCTTAAAAAGCTATTTTATCTCTTTTCTACATATAAATGTATTACTTTTAGATGATGGATAGAATTGTTCCAAACCCCTTCCTTTTCTTAATTGACCATTTAGAGGAACATTAGGATGTGGATATATATATAAATATATATAGGCTATTACTGAAATTATCCTGTGCTGTAAAGCTAATTGCATCCTTTAAAATAAATGTTTAATTACTTTGAGTTTTAGAGTGTAGTTTTTATTAAAAACTTATCATCACATCTGTGTTATCTTTCTGTTGTTCTGTTTTCTTTAGTTTGTCGATAAAAAAAAAATGTCCTAAAAGATAAGGGTGATTCATTGTTTTAATTCATTTATGTATTTTATTATTATTTTTTTTTTTTTGCAGACAAGGAGAATATGGGTCTGATCCACAAAAACTATACCCTGCAGGACGGACACATGTTGGCTGAGTACCAGATCAAACACAAATCTGAGATCCAGGCAGTGGTGCGCTGCAATGGAGGACTGGATGCTTGAACTACGGACCATCCCCACCTGAAATCAACTCCACTTGTTTCGATGTTTATTTCTATCCCCTTTTAATTAAAGATATCATTAGGTTGAATATATGTGACAGTCAGTCAGTTTCCTGTCCATTAATGTACAGCTTTTATAAACGAAGAAATAGATTTTTATTAAAGCTCATTTTCAAACTCTTCCAGTCATTTTACTTCTTGGGGGGGGACTATACATATGTACATAGTGGTGAGATTCTTTTTTCTTTGTTTGTTTGTTTTAGGAGTGTTTAATATATTGTTCTTTAAAAACATAATTAATATAAAATGACAGAAAGGTTGAATTTTCTTGGCTCAAATATGATCAATTTCAGCTTTTCATTCATTGAAACTGTTATAAATCTGTTATAAATAAAAAAGCTTGATTTATTTTTTAAACTTTGTCAAATGTTTATATCTGTAAATAAACCTTTTGATCTGTTGAATTATTTTTGAAAACATTTATGTATTAATTTGTGAAACATGTCAAATTGAAGAGACAAACTACTAAATGAATGACTAATATATAGCTTAATTTGAATTATTGCTTTTTGGATTCTCTTCATATGGCATTGTACTGATTTAAAAATCAAAATAAAAAATAGAGGAAATCAGTGATACTGATTGTTTCTACTTTAGGATGAGCTGGATGTAAATGAGCCATTTGTAGTTTTTATTATAGCAACGCTCAATTGTCAAAAATGACATTTATCCTCCTGATAAATGATTGTTTATTAGGAGGATAAGTGATTGTTTTTCACTACTGTTAATCATGTAATTTCAATCCATCCATCCATCCATCCTTAAATCCATCCATCCATCCTTTCATCCATCCATCCGTCCATCCTTTCATCCATCCATCCATCCGTCCATCCTTTCATCCGTCCGTCCATCCATCCGTTCATCCATCCATCCATCCGTCCGTCCATTCATCCGTCCATCCATGCATCCCTTCATCCATCCATCCGTTCGTCCATCCGTTCATCCGTCCATCCATCCATCCATCTGTTCGTCCATCCTTCCATCCATCCATCCTGAGCCGGTTATCCAGCAGGGTTTCAGGAGTTCCGCAAGTTTATTTTCTAGCCGACAGAACTGACTCACGTGACTTATTCCGCACAGAATCGAAAGAGTTTCTTTCTTCCAGTATAACCTGCTGGTAGTTTCTGTCTTCGCGGGAGAAATCGAGATGAGCGCTGGAGCTGAGACCAAGTGTTATAAGCTGGGGGATCCGACGATTCCCTTCGTGGATAAGGAGGATCAGTTTGACTGTAAGTGGCTGTTTTAGTTCATTAGACAGAGCAGGATTGGAGCTGGATACTTGCTGCCATATCTGAATGTCTGGTATAAATGTTACCGTGTTTATAATCAAGCTGTATTTAAACATCCTGTAGGATCTCATTAAATTTGTTTCTACAGTTACATGCGAAGGTTTTGCATCTCCAAGAGCTCAGATGTCCTGTGGACATGTGGTGACCCCGATGTCTCTCACTAAGTGGTGCAAACATTTAGTGGAAAAGGTAAGAGAGCAGCGAGTAATCTGAAACCGATAGCAAAGCAGAGAAATAAACTGGAACATTTAATAAAAGCTCCTTTCGGCAAGTTGTTTATGCTTTTAGATAAAAAGGTTTCATTTTTCCACTGTGTTTTTTTTTTTTTTTTTTTTTGGCAGCAGAATCTGCTTTTTGTTTATTTACAAAGTGCAAAAAATTGAATGCTTAGTTACAAATTTAGGAGGAATAATCGTCGACCAGAAACATATTTGCCATAAAATTGTTAAATTCAGGTAAAATAAACAGGATTCCCTGTCTAAATAATAGCTATAGAGTTTGCTTGTTTTTATAAATCACAGAAAGAAGTTCATTCCCCAAGATAAACCTTAATTTAGCAGAAATTTGTTTTAAATAGGCAGGCTCTAGGGTGGAACAGTTTATAGCTCTCTTGCCTTGCAGCAGGGTTCTGGGTTCGATTCCCAGCTCGGGGTCTTTCTGCATGGAGTTTGCATGTTCTCCCTTTGCATGCATGGGTTCTCTCCGGGTACTCCTGCTTCCTCCCACAGTCCAAAAACGTGTGTGCATGTGTGTCTCTGTGGTGCCCTGCGACAGACTGGCGACCTGTCCAGGGCGCGCCCCGCTTCTCGACCATACACTGCCATCATTTTGGTTGAAAAATATGTATTTTTTTTTTTCAAATTTAACGTTCAGAAATTATTAACACCCCATAGAGGAACATTTTCCGACCAATATCATATTTTTTAAAAGTTTAGTCCTTTTTATTTCTTTTTTTTTTCCAAACATAAATGACCAAATAATGTTGGATTCCTTAAAAGATTATAGTCACATTTGCAGCTCTAAATAGTTGGTTTGCTTTTTTGGGTTGTTTTTTTAGCTGGACTAAGGGTGTTTATTGCTGTTTAGATTGTGGAGGTTTTAGACACAGACCTAGACTAAAATCTTTGTATTTAAATCAATTTATCCTTTTTATGTCCCCTTCATTGTAGTTTACATTTGAGTTGTGCATACTTACTTTTCAGTGCACAAAAACTGTGAATCTTTAAAACACAGCTCTAATATATAACACCTATAATAACATTTTAATTTGATCTCAGGTCTGTCACCGACTATACTGTCACATTTAAAAATGTGTCTGAATATCTAATGTAATGTATATTTAGGCTTTCAAAGTAAATACCGTTGTGTTGTTGAAAATTTAATTCACTCTGATATTATTTGCAGTCTCAACACATAAAAGCAGATCTCAACAGTTAAAATTAAAATATACCGTTCCAGGCAGTATAGGTGTATTTTCTATGGAGACATAGCAGCTTTTGTTTTTTAACAGTTATGGCGTAATATTAATGGCAGAATTTTGAAAATTGGTTAAAATAAACTAAAGAATCACAGAATGATGAGTTTCTTTTTCTTACGTTTAATTCCGACTATTTCTCTGACTGTTTATATAAAGGGCGACAGCCAGTTTGTTTGCGGTCAGTCTGGCTGTGATGCTGTTTGGCCTTTCAAAGAGGTCTGTAAAATGGCCCTCCTGACCCCTGAAGAAAAGGACTACTTTGAGAAAACCATGTCCTTTAATGCTGCCGCCAGAAACCCTAACTCTAAGTTTGTAAGTATCTGTTTAATGACACAAAAACTGCAAGTATGCTTGAATCTGTTGCAAATCCCTCTGTTTTTATTTCACCCTCCACACATTATCTATCCTGACAGTGTCCTGGATGCATGTCTCCTGTGACCAGAGGGAGCAGCTTAAACCTTTACATTCACTGCAAAGTGTGCTCAGGAAAAACAGGACGCACTTTTGCATTTTGCTGGCAATGTTTGAGGGAGTGGAAAGGTATACAGCCTCGGTTCGACCGCTGTGAAAATGATGATTGCCACAATTCTGCCCTGAAAACCTTGAGAGAGTGTCCAGAAATCCAAATTCAGACTGAGAATGGAGCCAAAGGGTGTCCGTCTGTCCGTGCCTGTCCAACCTGTGGCTCACTGATCCAGCACACCGGGAAAGGATGTAAAATCATTTCATGTCCAAGATGTCACATGCAGTTTTGTTTTGGCTGTCTAAAGAGCACTCTTGAGTGTATTATTGCACAAAACAGAGTTTTGGGAAAATGCCCTTGCGATATTGCCCCAAGACAGACCTCCATACCCATGTGGCAGAGAAAAATTTAGTAGGATTATCTTATTTGTTGGTACCTTTAGTTTGAGGAAAGACAAACCCAACATTGTTCACAGAAATATAATGGATTAGACAAAAGTAATAATAAATAAAACTGCTTTTCCACCATGCTTTAACAAAATGATAAACAAATAAACTCGTGAAACAGGTCTGGACAAAAATGAAGGTACATTTAACATTTTGTTGTCCAACCATTAAAACAATTGCTGCAATCAAATAATTCCTTTAACTGTCAATGAGACTTCTGCTCCTCTCAGCAGGTATTTTGGCCCACTCTTCATAAGCAAACTGCTCCAGTTATCTCAGGTTTCAAGGGTGACTTTTCTAATTTCTCTTTAGAATGGTGATAGACTTGATATGTTATTGTACCCTGGAAAGATTCAAGACACCCTGTGCCACATAAAGCAAAGCAGCTCTCGGACATAAAAGATCAACCTCCATTTGTTACAGTAGTGGAGGTTTTATTTCATGATATACTTCCTATACTCCTAATGTTTCCACAGGAAATTCCCCCAAAAGCATTGTGGCTTGTCAATGGTTTAATTTGGCAAATTCCAGTCTGGCATTTTTATGATTTGAAATAATGGGGTCCTCCTTGATTATCTCCAGTTAAATCCAATTTGGCTCAAAACATGACAGTTACAGTAGTACTATCTGTCACTGATGTTCCTTGAGCTTTAAGTCCACCTTTAATCTTTTTAGAAGTTTTTCTGGTCTCTTTTGTTACCATTCGTATTATACTTCTCTTTGATTTGTCATCAATTTTCCTCCGGTAACCAAGTCCAGGAAGGTTGGCTTCAGTCCCATGGATCTTATATTTCTGAATAACATGTACAACTATAGTCACAGGAACATTAAGCTGTTTAGAGATGGTTTTATTACCTTTACCTTTAACATGCTTTTCTATCATATTCTTTAATAACTCCTGAGACAAGTCTTTCCTTCTCTTCCTCTGGTCCATGTTGAGTGTGGTATGCACCATGTCACCATACAGCACAGTGACTAGCCTTATATATAGGCCCACTGACTGATTACAAGACTCTAGACACCTGTGATGCTAATTAGTTGACATGGCCTGATTTAACATGTCTCTTTATAAACGGTATTTTCAGTCTTTTCTAGGGAACCATTATTTTGTCAAGACTTGTTTCATTGCTATTTTATTTCAGTTATTCCGTTAAAGCATGGTTGAAAAGCAATGTATAATTTTCATGTTTATTATCAAGATTTATTTATTTATTATTACTTTCGTTAATTTAATGTTATGAAGATAAACACTATGAAGAAGTAGGAGGACTTGTGCTACTTGTCCACTCTGTGAAAAATACACTGATTTAATAACCATGGTATCTCTTCTAGATTGACCATATAACTGGTCTGACCTTAATTTGATATAGAGTATTTATCTATAATTTAGTTTATTATGTCTGAAAAGCTTTGTAAAGAAGTGAGTCATCTAATCATACCTCTGCAGTTCCTATAGGTAATACCACCAACAATATTGACAGATGAAGATATGGACATTGACGTTCCTACACACCTCTTATTTATACAGTCTCATGCTTCAATACTGCTTTAATTCATTATTTAGGTTATTCTTTACTTTCACACCACCTATTGAAATGGATATGATTTTCATGTTTGTCACATAAGCTTTTGAATTTTTGATTATCTCTGTAATTATATCCTTGCTACAAATAGTTTTTGAATGCTGTTTGGTAGCTGATTATTTTGAGCTTTATACATATAGTTGTGAGATTTCAAATTCTATCATATCAGAGGATTTAAACAAGCAGGAGTGAATGAATGATGAATGACTGCGTTCGTGTTAGCCAGCTATAGGAATTTTCCTGGTGGCTCTTTTCTGCAGTTTGAGTAATGTCTTGTAGGTGTTATCCCAGACTTCTATATAATTGCTCAGGTATGATAGAAACAGACAAAACGTATTGCTTATAGTTCAGAAAATGTTTTGCTTTACTAAGATAATGATGCTTCTAGATTATTTAGAGTGGATATGTTTGATCTGAGGCTTCCAGTATAGTAGTCAATAAACAGACCTAATAATTTTATTCCCTTTACTTGTTCCACCTCTACCCTACCTTTTTTCACAATCACGTCTATGTTTCCTTAATAACTACCTAATAAAATGAACTAATTTTTTTCCAGATTCAATGGCAGTTTATTCTTGTCAAACCAGTGATATATTCCAGGAGCTGCTGTAAACACAAACCAAGATAGAAGATATTTGCACCAGCTGCAAGCAAAACACACTTGAATACTTGTGAAACCTTATAGAAGTAATTTATGTAGAGATAAAACCATATCAGTCCTAATCTGGACCCTTGGGGACCATCACAAGCAATGTTCAAGAACCACTTCCTTCACACCATAATGCTCTAACTTCCTGATTAATATATTGTTATGAGTTGTTTAAAATATTTTTGGATTAACAAACAGACCAATTGAAAACTTATTTTAATCTATTGAGCTGATTAATTCCTCAGTTAATCCTAGAACTGCAAGAGCTGTGGATCTCTGTGATCTAAATCTATACTGCATTTCAGAAAGCATTTTGAATTTCTCAAAAGAAGTTGTTCATGCTGCTAATAAAGAGTTTTTCAAAAGCTTGGAAAAAATTTCGAAGTAACAAAATGGGTCTATAATTTGTGAATTGCTGTCTATCTCCAGTTTTATATAATGGTATAGTTTTTGCGCGAAAGAGAGGGTACCGATATGAGTCAGTGGTTTTAATAGTTGCCTCAATAACTCTTCTGACTCCAATGTCATTGGATATTTCATTTTTACATTTGATTTCTCCCTCTTCCAATGCTGTGAGAAACCCTGAGTTTCATTTTTTGTTATGAGCACCTCATTGCAGCTCTCTATCATTCAGGTTCAGGGATCTTTTCTGCCAGTTTTTCACTGAATACTTTTAAAATGTTCCACCTCTTCAGAGAGATCATCAACATTAAATAGTGTTGCTCATAAAACATTTTGGATATTAATTTTGGTCTTTTCCTAATAACATTTTCATAATATTCTATATGTCATTTTATTATTATTTAATACTTGTATATAATATTCCTGTTTAAATGTCCTTAAAATGAATGTGGAATTCTCTACAGAGTGTGTTTTTTTCCCACGGACATCCTCCAATCCTTTTGTGATCCATGGATTTTCAGAATATTATCATTTTGACATATATTCTATTGTTTGATAATGTTTATCAAATGTACCGTATATTTGAAAATGTTTGGGAATGTCATGTAAGCTTTGTGTATGCTTTCTTTCTTAAAGTATTTCATCCTTCATTCAGTCGTTGAATCCTGTCTTCTCATTCTTTTGTAATATTGTGTATAGTCATTAGCAGATTTTTCTAAATGATGTCATGCAGCACAAACACCAGCAGATCACTGATATGATTAATGACACTTACTGTGTTGTTACCTATACGGTTTGTAAATATACAGTATGATCTATTACTGTGGCATTGTGGGGTGCAATCCCACTAGTTTTAGTGATATTTGGATAAAGGCTCAAACTATACACTGTATGCCTCTTTAAGTTTTGCAGATTCATATTGAAGTCCCAGAAGTCACAGATTAAATATACATTCTGATTTATATTTATGAATGGTTCTTCAAACAATGCCGTAAACATTTCCACACTGAAACCTTATGTAGATGCGGTCTACCAGAATATTTCCTCTTGTCCACAAAGATTTAAACCATTATACATTTGACTATGCCTTCATTTTATCAGTTACCTTATATCTAGGGTTTCTCTCTTTCACCATTCATGTCCATTCTATTCATATAGTCAAATTAATATTCCTCCAGTTAAAAGTCCATCCCATTTTCATGGCCAAACCAGGACACATGATATTGTAATCATAATAAACGGCTGTGTGACCTGGCCTAGATGGTCAATGACTGCTGGAGTCAGCGTTTCCTGAGCCATTGCATCTATATGTATCCAAGACATAGGTCACATATTGTCACTTTGATGTTACGCTACCATTAAACCAAAGAAAACTTCATAAATTGATCACTGCTCACATGTTCATAGCAAAAGGTTTCCACAGACAGGGATGATTTGGTTATCAGCTGGTGCAGTATCTACCAGGAGAATTTATAGCAGATATCTAGGGCAGATGTTTCAGTCAACAGATAACCTTTATGGAGGTAATTGCTTCAATTCAATGGTATTACTATTCTAGATTGATCATAAACCTGGTCTGACCTTAATCTGATATAGAGTTTATAGCAGTCAAGAGGAATTATCACAAGACCCAATAGTCAAAAACAAGACTGCTGCTATCAAAGCATCTCGCATTTCAACACCCAAAGCACCAGGATGATTACCTTTCATGCCCTACTGCTTCGATGCAGTGAATTATTCACCAGGTCTTGAGTACATGCACTGAGCAGTAACTGGATATTCTTTTAAGGAGGTTAACATTTATATCACTTTCATTCTGACCCAGTAAAGCTGGTAATTACTGTTAATCTCTGCTTGTTCAATACTTTAAACAGACTTTAAATAAAAGACTCCCCCAATCCACCCATCTGCCTTATACATCCAGAATATCTAACTATGGAGAAATATGAAATCTCACAGACTTCACTATAATAAAACAATTTGTTTTTCTAAGCTCTTTATATCATTCCTAATCCAAATGCTCGAGTCACATCAGCAATGCCTTTTAAATTGAGAAAATAAAAAGAAAAACATAATGAACAAATAATCCAATAATAAATAATAGAGACAACCAACATGGTTGATGTGGTAATGGGGAGATATAGGTCACATCTATCATTTCTTTGGACCACCATAAGGCCTCCACATCACCACCTCCTGCATCCAGCCCAACACTACAGCTGAATTTGTCCATTCAACATGAAAACTCAAACATTTTAAATGTTTCTGTAACTGATGTTTCCCTATCAGATCTTTCCCTGTTTTATGTTTACTTTAAATCCATTTTTCCCACAGATCTAAATAACAAAAGAGATTTTATAAGAAAGTATTTTATCATAGACACTACAATTAATAATTTTACCATGGCTTATACTTTTGCTGCCACTTTACCCTGTAACTCAGAAGATGAGCCCATTGATAATTTGTCTCTGGAAAGATGGAATCTCCATAGAGAAATGCTCCAGGAGTGGGAAATGAAAAGAGGGAGTGCCAAAAAGCAAAGGTGGCGGAGGAATGGATTCCGAGTTCACTATGAAATCTATGAAGAGAGACTTTACAGATATAATTTTAAAAATAAGAGATGCAACAGAATTTTTCTTCTACATTAAGAACATCAACAATCGTCACGCCTTATTTGCAACAGTTGACAGGTTAACAAACCCTATTATCGACGTGGCTGATTAACTCCAATCTAAAAAGGCCTGCAATGACTTTAAAAAAATTTTACTAAGAGATAAAAGGTATTACAAAACCAGACTGCACATAAACTTCAACTCCAGTACAATTTTGTCTCCAATCAAATAAACACTGTTAAAATACCCTAATTCTAATAAACTGCATCTAATCTCCTCTACATACTGTCTTAATGTTTTACCCACGTTTTATTAAGCAGGTTTACCTGTTGTAGAGTCTGATTTGATTCCAATCACAAACCTTTCTCACTGGCCGAAAAAACTTTTTAAACCAAATGCCAAATGTTGATTCGTAGCGGGTCGACCCATGTTTGAAAAGTATGCATTAACCCAGTATTTCAGTGGGAAAGAGGCTATAAACACAACCCTTATGTCGGGTGCCTTAAAAACAGCTACCATCGATGAAGAAGAGAAACAGTTAACAATGACAAGCTGCTTTAATGTCTTCCAGTCAGGTTTCTCTGCAAACCACAGTACAGAGGATGTCCTGAACGGTTCACACAACAGTCTGGTTGCAGTAACATTAATATAGTGTAAAAGAAAATGGCAAAACCATTATTTCTGCAGAAGACATCATAATGGAGCGTCACATCACATCCTGCAGTGTGAACGTAACCAAACTGACCCTGAAAAGGTAGTAGGAGGATCAGCCTCATCTGCATCCACTGATCTGCTGAAAGGTTCAGCATATAATGAATTCAGATATTTGCCCAAATTTTTTATAAGCTAGCTTCCAATAAGATTTTTTTATCCTCATAGCTGCTGCTTCCTCATATTAGGATCTTTTTGTTTAAAACCTAGAGTATAGTGTCCCCCAAACCTCCAGCAGACTTGAAACTATCTTGAACCAACAAATATGTCATATTACTTGATTCCTCTTTCTTCATCACATGGATGGTTATCATGAGCCTAATCAGTTTCAGCACAACTAATGACAAATCAATTGAGTTGCTACTTGTGATTGATTAGCTTTACATTAAATTCATCCATGAATGAATCGTTTTCAGTGTTTCACTTCGGCTGTGATTCATTTCTTTTTTTGTGCTCATTTTAGATATTAAAAATAAAGTTTCTTACAATAAAAAGACTTGCAGTAAACAACCGGTCAGACAGCTATAGTGCTTCCTTTTCAAAGAAATGTTACGGAAAATAAATGTCATAACACAAGCATTTTTTGTGGGTACTTTCCAGCTCCTTACTTAGTTTTTGTTTCATGTTGTTTGGTGAGGTAACTAATCTTTATCATTTCGATTACGGCCAACAGATTTCCCTTAAGTTTATAGTTTCTTCCTGTAATTCTAACGCAAGTGAGAAAGAATGACCACATTTTGCAGGTTCATTCCAGGACAGACTACTTTGTAATATAGGTGGAGTTACAGGCCGTCTACTCCCTCCCTCTCTCTGCAGTCATAGGAGTGCCTTTTACTGTCTCTATATCAGCGATTGTTCAACCATAGAAATTCTTCCTGCAAAGTCGCTGTGAAGAAGAGCTGAATCAGGGCAGTCTTCAATGATTCAGTATGAAACAAGGTAAGACCTTCATCCCAACCTTCCAGTAAAGATGGGAATGAACGCCGTCTTTTATTAATGTACCAATGTTTTATATCTGAATGTCCTACAGACATTAAGTACTATGGGTTGAGGAACCAAGGAGCAACATGCTACCTGAACAGTATTCTGCAGGTTCTGTTTATGACCAAGGAGTTCAGAGAGGCTGTAGAAAGGTTGGTGAATCAATCAAATACCATTTTTTATGTTATAACATCTGCTTTATTTTACGGTAGCCTCTGTATCTCTGACAACTTTCTATTAACAGATGTCCTATAGACCATAAAGATCGCATTGATGTTCAACTGCATAGTTTGTTTGAAAGTTTAAAGGAAAGAACATCAGAAACCAGAGACGTAACAAGAAAGCTGGGGATAGAAAGAGGTAAATTATAAAATGCATTAAAGAACGATGAGCTTGTTTCTTGATAAGCCTAACAAGCATTAGAGAAAATAAAATGAACAGCAGCATTCCTTATAATAAAAAATAAAGATGCTGTATTTCATGGATCATTCTTCCTCTATTCTCTCAGTTTATGAACAGTATGATTCTGGTCAGTACTTTGAGAAGATTTTATCTATGGTCAGTGATGAAGCATCAAAGGTAAATGACTCATTAAATCACAATGAGATCAGGATGGAGACTGAATTAGAGAATCTACATTAAGCATAGATGCTTGTTTTCTATCAAAATGTGTTTTCAGGTATTTAAAGGAAACCTGACCCACAGGACTGTTTGTGGTGGATGTTCTGCACATACTGAAGAAGATGTGCCATTTTGGTATCTTTCTCTTCCACTGATGGATTCTAGTGATAAAAACTACAGCGTGGTGAGAAACAACCTGCAAACTGGAAACCATTTAATTTCCGACCAAACTCCTGTCATAAATGTGATTTGGGCTAGACAATGATTTATGATTTATAGCTTAGTAGAAACTGTGTCTTTTACCTGAGAGCTGCAGGTGGAAAGCACCTGTAACACAAGTTCATTTTCAGGAGGACGCCATCGAGGAGTTCTTAAAGGATTCAGAGTTTAATGGAGATGACCAGCTGTACTGTGATGAGTGTGAAGAAAAACATGACACTACTGTTGTAAGTAAACCGAAACTCTTTTGTGTTCGTTTACAAAGCAGCTAAAACTTTGTTCATAAAAGAGACTTTACATTGTGAAATATATAAAAAAAAAATGCTTTTACCTGAACATATGTTACCGTATAAAAACATGTGCTATATAGAAAAAAATACAAAATCATCTTTCCATGTTTTTAAGGTTGGCTAGAATTACCTTAAGTATTTATTTTAGCTGAAACACGAAAATAAAAGAGAAATCTGTGCCAAAGTTTTTATTTTCTGGCTGGTGTCTTAAGTGATTTAAAGTGTACACATGTTTTATTTATTGTGACACAATCTAAATGTTGAATTCTCTCCCACCCCCCCACATACCTCCCCCAACCCCCCCCACCACACCCCCCAACCCCCAACCCCCACCCCCAACATGATGCTGCCGCATAAATAAGAAGAAAATATTGGTCCTTTTGAGAGACCTGAAACGGGAACGATTTATTCTGAATTTTGCCAGACAGTACATGAAAAATGCTGTGAGTCTTAGTAGTAAATATATTATGTTAATTAGATTTATGCATCTGTGTTCATTCAGAAATACAAACTAAAGCATAATCCAGAGGTTTTGATGCTGCTGCTGAAGAGATTTGTATACCAACGCCGATCCTACATTAAAGACAGCCATGCTGTGGATGTTTACTACACTATCAACGTACCTGAGGTATATTTTAGCATATTTTGATCATTGCTCGTTTCCTTTTCAGTCTTCAGATCATTAATGTCTGTGTCTCATTGTTCAGAATCAGACATATGAACTGTACGCGTTGGTGGAACACTTTGGGACTCTGAAAGGTGGACATTATACAGCAAGAATCAAACCTCAGGATGAAGAAGGATGGTTTGAGTTCAATGATTCCTCTGTTACAATGGTGAGAATGATTGTACTATAACAATACTTTCAAACATGGATGATTTTTAGTTTATCTGTTGTTTTGAAACCGTATATTTTAATTTATTATAAAAAAAAAGGCAATTTTAATACACAGTTGTTTCTTTTTCAATGACCAGATGTCCCAACAAGAGACATTCGAGAGGTAACTGCCCTTCATTTTCTTCTTCTATGTTTTTGTACTGTTTATAATAAACTAATGTTAAGCTCTTTCCGCACCAGATCCCAGAGTGCATATCTTCTGTTTTACAGGAAGAAAAGCAAGAAGAAAACAGGCTTCCTATCATTTAATACAGGATTTATTTCACGTTGGTTTTCTAAAGTAAATTTCTTATGGTTCTCATTTGTTATTGTATCTGGATGTGCCTTGGTGTTTTTAATCAAACGGAGAAATAATTTTTTGCACTTTGTCTATGCAAGCGACACAGTTAGTTTTAGACTTTATTTTAATAGGTTGTTTGCTTTTCCTTTTCTTGGTCACCTTCCTCACTTTAACTGATCTGATGCTTCCATATGTCCACACAGTTCACCTGATAATCCACATCATGTTCTTGTGTCACTCATCAGCCCTCCCGGTAGTTAAATAATACAATTTTTTCCCCCTCTGTGACAGACGATTTCATTCATCTATGACTGCTCTCCAAGTTCTGCTGGTCAGTTTCTATCACAGTTCTCTAAATACTTACGTTTTTTAAGCTCTTTTATTAACACATTCATTCAGCATCCACTCTGTCTGGAATATCTGCCTGCCTTTTAAGACTAAATTGTTTTCCAAAATATAAAAATAGAAAGTAAAAGATGACATATTATCAAACAAAGATTATTTTAATTACAGAGATAAAAAACGAAAAAACTAACTTATAATCTATTTATTGAAAATATTACTTTGCCTGAGAGGCCTGCAGAGTTGATTTAGAGAATCATTTATAATGAATCTAATGGACAGGCATCACCTGAGCACAAATCTGTTTAAAGCTTAAACATTTTAACAAAAACAAATTTTATAATGTGACTGCTATGAAAGGTCAACATTGCAGCGGTTTATTCTTTTAGGTTTATCCTAAATGGCATCCTGGACAGTTTGCAGTTGGGTTAGACTGTATAACATCAGCAAATTCAAGAAAAAAGCTTTGCTTTCTTATGTTACAAAAATAGGTTTAGTGGAATATGTGTGTCCTTTATTCATATGTAAATAAAATACTATAAATGAAAATAAATGTGTACGTTTTATATGCGTTTCTGATTTTTCTCAGTCAAGTGCTTAACATAATTTTTTCTTACACAGAAAAGTGTGACTTTTTCTTTATTAGCTGTAACTATGCTCCAGTTTGGAAACAAGCTGCCTTCACTTTAGGTCAGGGATCTAAAATCTGGGGCTGGATGGCAGCTGTCCTGCAACCTAAAGATAGTTAAATTGTTAGAATATATTTAAAATTTAAGTTAACTGAAATATTATTCAATCAAATATTTTGCACTAATACCATCTACTGGTTGTCCTGCTGTCAGGTGTTCAAAGTCAGCTGACTGAGGAGCTCTAAACTTTAATCCATCGAGTTACTGCTGATTGGGAGAGACCATTTCATTAAGTGTTTTTAGAATACTTTGAAATTTGTTGAATCTTTTACTTTTGAGTTTCTCCAGAAACGTACCTGAAAAGATAAATGTAGGAATTTATAATAAGGAATAAATAAAATTTTATGAGTAGAGAAATAATATAGATAAATACAATGACAATAGAGTAGCTATTAGCATGTGCATTATTCCGGTCTGACGGCAAAGTAGAAGTGCATCGCTGTCGTTTACAGGCCAAGTTTTATTCAGCTGCTCCATTTCCCGTTTCAGAGATGCTCAATTTTCCATCAATAAGCAAACTTATCCTCACTCCTCCCAGAGATAAGCCCAATGAGAAAGAATGGGAGCTGAGCAGATGTCAGCACATCCCTACCCTCTGTCTAAGATCACATTCAGAACCATTGCAGAAACCTAATCCCAAAACTGGTCAGAGACTTTGCATTAGTTGCTTGAACATTTAGAAATTTGGACTGTCAGAATTTATAGTGACTAGTATGGCAAAAATGACATTGATGCAGAAAAGATGAATGCTGTAGAAAAAAAACTGTCTTTATGCAGTGCAACCAAAATAAAAATGTAATAATAGGAGACATGTTTTAGACCTTTGAGAACAGCAAACCATTGGTTATAGCTGCTGCGTTAATATATGTAAGTGACTTTGCTCTAAGACATTCCATTAAAATTGATGTCTATTGTCAGTAACTGGGCAGCTACACTGACTAATTACAAGATGACAGGTAAACACAGCTTAAGAGAGGCAATTGTTTTCTACATCTGTATCATCATAATTAGATTTTAAACCCTCATATCTTGGTATCTATACAAAGACCAGAATCTTCCGTATAATTGGACACCAGCCACAAGGTTGAGTGATCTCACAGCCTGAACCATCTCAACAAATGTATGTTGAAATGAAAAGATAAAATGTTATTGCTCCATGTATGATTAGCAGCATGGTGATAAGTCTGACTAGCGCATACTTTCTGAATCTGGAGCAGACAGCTCCCTCTGCTGTTCAGGATGTATAATTTACCTTCAAGTAACAAACAGCTCTACTTCACTATCAGGATATCTGGTCCAAAGCTCATGGTGCACAAATGCGTCAATGAAAGTATAACCAGAGGCAAACCAAGCAGTTGCTTGGTTTGCCTGGTTTGCCCCGAGCCGCTGGGGGGCCCCCGAGAGCCAGCTACTGTACACCCGGTAGATAAACAGCAACAGGTGAGCATGAAGTGGCAACGCTATAGTGACTGAGGAGATGCACAACTGCATTTAAAAATTCTGATTGGATGGAATGTTGATCGACATTGGCTTTGCCCAGTCAAAATCCAGCCTTGCCCAGCCCAGGTGGATGACTTCCCTTAATGAAAATGAACGTAGCCTAGCGAATGGGTGACGTTGTAGGCCTATCGTTCAGTAAATTGGAAAGCAATTATGTAACTAAGCTGAAGGAAAATTATTAATTTTCCATGTCTCAAGAGAGACTTTTAGGACTGGCGCTTATTTTTATAGAGTATAGCGTGCAAAGGTCTTTGGATCTGGAGGACTTAGGCCCCGTCCACACGAAGTCAAAACGAACACGAAACGCTAATATTTTCCAGAACGTTTGTCGTAAAGATGGAGACGTAAAATAAATGTGATCGACCACACCAATGCATGAAAACGCTGCAAAATGTATGCCAGGCCTGTAAGTGGCGCTGTGGTGCCAAAGCAAAAATAGGTGACGAAATGTTGGGCATGCGCACTAATATTTATACATGGTTGCCCTGCGGGTCCATTTTCGTGGTTCAGTCAAATTCAGGTGCTGAACTATGTGGTCGATATTGCTCTGTTCTTCCTGGAGATATTCCAGAAGAAGAAGATTCTGTTGTAAGCCCGACAGCAGGGTGAGTAGCATTAGCAGCAACCATTCAACACAGTACGGCGCCATTGTTGTTGTGATACTGTGTCGTGCATGCGTGTTTAGAGGCGACGCTATGACGCATGCGTGTAAAAAAAAAAAAAGCGGTTAGAGCTTACAGATGGAAACGCGAAAACGGCGTTTCAAAATCTTTCCACTCTGAAGGCTTAATAAAAAAAAGATTGTTTACTGACCCCCGAAACGCCGGCTTCGTGTGGACGAGAGGCTGGTTTGGTGAAAAATTAGTGCGTTTAGGCCAGGGTTTGACTTCGTGTGGACGGGGCCTCAGTGTCTGCATTTGCACAAGCCAAGGCCCGTAAGCAGTAATTCTGGAAGCAGTATAGGACCCCAATAATTTCACTTCACTTACTATACTTTATATTTTGTACAAAGTTTATATTGGGTTTTTAAAGTAATTTACTGTTTTTTTTTATTTTATTATACATTTATTTTAATTTATTAGTTTATTTTTTACTTTTATTCTTTTATATTTTCCAAAATAACAAGGTTGTTCATGTTTAGAACATTTGGAATAAAAAAAGGTTTTATTTAATACATTTTTCATTGGTGTCAGATTATTTATAGCCTAACATAACGGTGATGAACACGTGTCAGCCCCCTAGGATTTTTTGCTTGGGGCCCCCACAGACTCTAGAATCGCCTCTGAGTATAACAATCAATATTGTTATAGTTGCATGGTTATAAGTAAGCTGGTATTCCTGCAAATATAAGAATTAGTCTCATTTTAGTTTTAAACAATACTTATTTTTCCATCAGGATGTCTGGCCCATTTTCAGAACATTAAAACTATTATACTCTTCTTCATTCTACTAACAGAGTAGGAAGAACAAGCAAAAATTTGTTGCAATGCATTAGAACCATCTGTAACTTAATTTTCTGAACAAATGTTTTTAAATCAAATTAATGAAGAGCTGCAATCTGGAGACCTTATTGATATGAAGGGTCAGCATCTTCAGTCCACTATTAGTATAGCAAAAAGAAAAAATATGTGACTACAAATCAATTGTGACATATCCTTTCACAACTTTTACTTGAAGGAATAAGAAATGTTAGCCTGATATCTACATATACAAATATTCGTTCATATCTTCTATGACTGTATCTGAATTTAAAACATTAATGTCCCATTTTCTTTTCTAATAATTCTAAATACTCCTTTAGGTTTGTGAGTGTATGTGGATGTATGGTTGGTAGCACTTATATTAAACTGACACCAATGCTATCTTCTGAACTTCAGCAGTTTTCTGATTATGAAACCAAAAGGTTTTTTTTGTTTTTTTTTTTTTTAAACAGTCTTAATTCCTGTGTAATGTTTCAACAATATCTTTTCTGTTAAATTATCTGCTCAGTCAAACTAATTTGTCCTTGTTTACTTTAAATGCATGGAATCTGAACGGAACCATAAAGATGTTCAGTTACATTTTAAGATAAAGACAAATTAGCAGGAAGTTCAAAGCATGAGCATTTGGAAAACAAATGAGGGTGAAAAAAGTAAATAAAACATAGTTCTAGCTTTTTCTACATTAAATATCTTCTCGTGTCTTATCTAAATGATTCAAGCCCTTAAACAAGTTACTATATTATTTAAATATGAGCTAACTTAATACCAAATTCAGTTTTAAATGCAATAAAGCAACCAAACAGGTAAAATAAAATATAAAACAAAAGAAACTTTTAACAACAAAGGAGAATATGCAATTTTTATTTTAGATAAAGATATTTTTAAAATATTCATATTCACATTTGAGAATAAGAAATGTACAATTTTAAAAACATCTTTTCATAATAAAAGACATACATGTTGAAATCAAAGGGTGAACATTGTTGCCTTTAGTGACAAACAAATATTATTTAATAGCCAACTGCAGCTTGGCAAGTCGGGTTAATAATCATGGCTACATAGTTTTCCCTCCAGTGTGTTTTCATGTCTTTTTTTAAACTATCTCCCTGAAATTCTTGCCCACATAGATCATAGCAGAAAGGTTTGTGTTCAGTGTGGATCAATATATGCGAGGCTGGTCTGGGATATTAATCCAGACCAGAACCGGGTGAGGCCGGCCATGTCAGCTAAGGAACCAAAGCAGGAGATCGGAGGACAGCGATAGTTCAGAGAAGCTAGTTGGGCAAGAAGCTCACCAGAGCGGGGAGAGAAGGCAGCAGCTGGCCGGTGTCTGCGCAGGAGCTGAGGACGATGAACAGTCCTTCTAAGGGTAAATTAAAACAGCACAGTCACACCTAGTTCCCGCTTGGTTTTGGCAAAGCAAATGTAAACCAAAGCAGTTTTTTTTCCCCAACTCCTGGTAATTTCGCTTTGCATAATTTGCAGAAACAGTTGGGCTTTCATTTCTCTGAATTCTCCAAGAACGCCTCACTCCGCCTTGTAGTACTAACATGTAAATCACTTGCTCCCGTCGTTAAATTTGTGTTTGTTGTGAATACACCTTAAGGCCCGAAACTCGTCAATATCCATTGTATCGTATTGCAGTGAGGCATATTACTTATCATATTCCTCTGCAGGATTACACACTCTGTATGGCCATGTGTTCAGTCCCTCATCTATAAAGGTGAGCTTTCCAATATTGCCATAATAAAGGTTTGGTATATATCATAAGGTCTAACTACTCACTGTCCCTCTACTGAGGAGTGCTGTTATAGCTGCTGGCCGTTTTCCTAAATGCCAGCTTACCACCATCACCTTTAGAATCAGTAAAGTTGCGACAAATGTCGATGAAATGTGATGCCAAAGGCACCTCAACTGCACCTTGGTTTGACCAAATAAAGTGATTGAAATGTCACAGGACTGATCAGCTTCGGGCCAGATCTTACCTCAAAGCGGTTGATCCGGTAAATGAACCCACAAAGTAAAAGATTATGACCGTATTTACCATTGAGGAGGGGGTCTGCTTTACTCTGTTTCATAGAACAAGAACTGTATTTTGAGTCCTAACAGGATTTATCAGGTTAAATAAAGTAAAATAAAATGGTAAAATTTTATTATCTAAAATTATTTTTGGTACTCTTAAGTGAAATTAAGGGGGTTTAATTAAGGTCCAAACCTAGCAATCTGCAATGAAAAAAATGTATTTGCAATGAACATTTCTATCTCCTGAGGGCTACAGTTGATTGGATCCCCCAATTATTGGACAGAGTAAAGGTTGGTGTGGTGAGCAACATGTTGAATCATCTCATCTGTAAAAAGTGACTTGAAATACCGGAAGGGTGTCTTCACGGCATAAGGAGCTTCAAATACAGAAGCAGGAACATGGAATTCATCAATGTCTTCATATTTCCAGTTTCTTCAAGTGGCTATATTTGGGTCTGGAGGTATGCTTTGCTCAAGAGTTTCAACCGGTTCTGTTACTGATATTCTTTTCAGTGTTTTTTTCCTTTACATTTTTTCTTGTGGGTCGTGGTTTACAGGATGTGCTTGTGTTTGGAATCTCTTCCTCTTCGTCCTCTTCAGACATGGACTCAAAAGAAGTGTCCCCTTCCTCTTGTGTGGGATGATAGTCAGGATCTATTTGGTCATCATCACTGCTCAGATCAGCATCAGAGTCTTGACGTTGTTCCCGTATCAGAGCGCGGGAATTGTGTGTTCTTAAAGCATAAAAAGTTTTGCTGTCCATCTAGAATTTTTGATAAAAAGGAAAATACATATACAAATATAAAACATGTAATTCCATGCATAAATAAAGTGGTTTAATATGTCAGCATAAGAATAAGTCCATATAACAATTAAGAAAATGCATGTATAAATCACTGTACTTTACAAAAGACAGTATTTTCCCAACTACATTAGTTTTGTGGCTGTGCCTTATCATAAATGAACAAATCAACCATTTGGTAAAATATATGTTTTTTTAATTATTTGACCCTCATAAGCTTTGCTTTCAACCATAATATTACTTTAGAATGTTTAGTAAAGCTTTTGACATCATTTCATTTTTTTTAATTATGCCTACCTTTGAAATATTTGACACAAAGAGCAGTCTTTTTTAACATCCCACTGCTAACTTCCTGTGTGGAGAGTTCTTCAACAGGTCAACATTTCAATGACACAGTGCTGTCAAGTGGTATTTTTGAGCATCACAATACTCACTAAGGTATGCCAATTTCAGTGTATGCCCAAGTTAGATATAAAGCCTCAAAATATGCTCTACCAATTTGTTGAGCAGAAAGCTAAAGGTTTAAGAGGCGTAGTTGACACTAAATAATTTAAGAAATGAACTGAAGTTTCTATTTAGATCGTTTGTTGACCGAATTCAAGCGTATTAAAAGCATTAAGATATGCTGAATAGGCTTTGCTAGCATTGTCATGGTAATATTTAAGTCTAACTTCTCTCTCAAAAACAATTTATTTACAGCCCCTCCCTGCTTTTGCAGAAAGTGTTTTATGTACTCTTATTCTCTGCTCATCTCTCACTCTGTCTCTTTCTCGTTCGGAGAGCACACTTAACCTCTTTCCTTAACCACTGCTTCTTAGTCTGGGAGAGCTTCAGAGGGTTGTGAGCTGAAAAATGGGTATAAACTATTTATTTTTTCATAAAATCAGGTGCAACCTGGACTGAGCCAACTGCTGAGGGGCATAGACAAGGGTGCTGAAGCTGAGTAATCGCCTTGAGCTCAAACTAAAAAGGCTCTCAACCACAGGTAACAAGGGGGAGAAAATCTCTTCCTGAAAAGATCCATTTGTGTTTTAACTATTAAGATCGATGCAGACTCTTCCTACCACAACATGTCTAAAGCCAGCAAGCTGCCATGTTCCCCCGTACTGACCAAGCCCCTCTTAAGGTGCATTCAGACCAAACGCGGTGTCTGTGGTAATTTCTGCAAGAACCGCGGGGAGTTCACCGCTTTTCCTTTCCTTTCAGATGTAGTGTTTCTGGGCTGCAAACTTTTTATCAAACCTTGGAGTGAAATTTTTAAATAGTTTGGACAGGCCACCCTTGTCAGGGTTCGATTGAAAGGCTATACGGATAGGTGCAGCTATAGGTTTTCAGACGATTTAACTGAAACAAAGTGGCAAAATGCGGAATTTTTGATAACACTGTAAACTTTACTGGATAACAATAAGTGATCTGTAGTTCTGTGGAACATTTTTTACAAAATATAGATTATTTTCTATACTCTGGTAAGAATTTCTCAACTGTATTTCTTGATTATTCTATACAGTTCAAGTAAAATAAACAATGGGGAACTAATAAGTTATTATTGGATTAATGGCACTAATACAGGAACCAGTGCAATCAAATCCCGTTCAAATAACTGTGTATGAATATTTGGTAATAGGCTAAGGATTTTTTTTCTTCTTAGTTTTCCTTACAATTGATTAAAAAAAGCAAAATAATTCAGACCTTCTATGAGGCTGTAGGGCTGCAACTAATGATTATTTTGCAATTCAATTAATCTGTCGATTATTTTTTGATTCATCGATTAATAATTGGAAAGTAAAAGGTTCCTTAAAGAAGATTTTTAGTAAAATTAAACCAGGTGAAGCTAAAATACTGTAATTATTTTAAATATTAAATGTTTACATACTTGTTTTACAATTTTGGTATAATTTCTGCTCAAGGTGGGTTGCTCTTTCAGCTAAAGACATGTTTAAGAGTCTCTTTATTCCAGTTAACTATTAATGGATTGCTAAATTAGTTGACAATTGTTTCAATAATTGATTAGTCATGATTAATATGCTCTACTAGATTCTATAAAAGCTTACCAAAACACAAGACAGCATTTCTATGAATATTTAATTTTGGAAAGGTGTGATCGAAATTACGTTTTTAAACATTCAATGGACCAAAATAAGGAAAGATTAATAATAAGTAATAATAAAATGAGTACATCCCTGTGGTGGTTCCTCTATCAATCTTGGATAACTGAGCTGTTCTGCACATCCTCTCAATATGTTGTTGGTCTTTTGTTTGGTGGCTGATCTATTGAAAAATAAAATGCAATGGTTCTTTTTCTTTTTGTGGAGCTCCTATGGGTTTGTGAGGTAAACCTGAAAGCTTTAAGAACTTAGATATTTGTGTTGGTTTAATTTGTTCTAAATTCCAATAGGGGGGTTATTCAACAAGACTGAGCAATAAATATTTAAATTGTGAGTAAAACATGGACTAAATCAGGAAGATAAACTACAGCAAACAAGGAGTAAAACTCACAAAAAAAAGCACTAGGTATAGGGAAAACAAACCATTTCATGTCAGTTTGATGTGAACCTACACTCAAGTCTCTACATTGATAATTTAAGCTAGCCACTGAATATTTTATTCATATTTACCCAAGTACTTGATTGCTTCATTAATTTATAAAGTGAATTATCTTAGTCCAGATAAGCATAAGATAACATACCTCATAATAACTGCTCAGGAATCCTGGTATTTTTTAATATGTGGCGCAGCTGCTGTCTGCACAGTGAAATAGGCGGGTTGGTGCAAAAATACAGACCTGTACTGAACCTGGCATGTCTTGTGTGTTAGCACTAAGGTTGTGTTGAAAACGCGGACTCTGTTTTTATAAACATGGTCTTTTTATATATAAATAAGTGGAATAGAGTTGAGTTTTAATGTCCGTCATTTTTTTAGAGTGAATATTTGCAGATATGGAGTGAAAGCATCTAAAGACACTGAGATGCGCGAGTCTCATGCCCAATGGGTTAGAGATGACAGCCTTGAGTGTTTTGAACATGAATATCAAATAGGAGGAGCTTCAGCTGCGTGAAGCTCACATTTCAGCCATTTGTTTCAGAAATATTAAAGATATCTTTAAGGTAATCTAGAGGCTACCATACCCTTGATTAAGCTCAGACCTGGTCTAATCTTTTAGTGCACAGAAAATAAAGTTATTGCAAAAGATAATATGGCAATCCCGGGTTGGCCCTGGACCTAACAATTCATTAATTAAGTATTTAGTAATTCATCAGTCTACCAGATCCTTAAATTTGGATCTGATGTTTACACCTGGCAACCCCATAGCATTTCCTGACAAATCTCACTATTGGCACTTCACAATAACAGTACGGTTGAAACATATTATAAACTACTGATACATTTTTCTCTGTGAACAACTTATGAATCAGCTTGAGAAAACCTTAAAAATGAATTAAAAGCCCCAGAAGTGCTATAAAAGTAGATCACTTTGGTTCATCCAGGGATGTGACTGGATCAGGCACAAGAAAAAAAAAGACAAATTGTACACCCTATTTTTCTCCTGGAAACTTCACTCAAATGTTCAAAATTTCAGAAGCTGCAGATGGAAAAACGTAACATGCTGCTCGATGCGACACATCAACCAATCAGAGAAGCTGATCAAGGTGAAAGACAGTACTGCTGATGCAGAGTGCTATGATCCCTCCACTGAAACTGATCTAATGTCTTATGAAATTTCCATCTCTAGTCAAGCACAAATATCTCCCATAATCAGGACAAAAGTAAGTTAACAATGACAAAAAGTTAGCAGCAATCTACATCATAAAGCAGGAAATAGCATTTCAAGGAGTCTAAATTTCACAATGATCCCGGGAAAGGAAAGGATCCCCCTTCCCAGACCCCGCTACACCGCACGAAGCCTAAAGATGTGATACATCCAGGTGTACATCCTATGAAATATTCTTAGCTCAAAGCCTGGTCTGGATGATGATCAGATTCAACGGTACTTCTAGGGCAGTGGTTACCAACCCCAGTCCTCTGGTGGGATGCAACAAGGAAACGCCTAAATCATGCAGAACAGGGGTCCCTGGGGACCATGGTTGGGAAACACCCACATCTAGGGCTAAATTACAACAGCTTTTGTAAAAGCCATTAAGAGCATTCTTTATTTCATCCTTTGTTAAAATTATTTCCTCTATATTCAATTTTTAATGATAAAAGATTACTCTCAGCTGCACTTCTTCAACCTATGTCACAACACAACCAGTTCCAGTTGGTTTTCGTGATGTGAGTCCCAGAAAAGTTCAGATTTTTAAACTTTAGCGGTTGCCTCTCCACTCTTTCCTCGTGGTGCTGCTGTTTGACAACCCCTCAGTTCTGTCAAACTGAAATCTCCACTGGACACCTTTCAGATCTTGGGGGTTTGCATAGGAATACTATATAGACCGCCCTTGCCACAGACACCGCATTTGGTGTGAATGCACCATGATCCACCAGATTACTGATAAGTGCTAAACATTACTAAGAAGATGCATCATATAGATATTCATATTTTCATATATTAGTTGATCCTCAAATTATCACATAACTGTTCACTGCAGTGATTACCAACTAAAATAAGCAGGGGAATTCCAAACCAAGACAAAAAAGTCCCGCTTTTTGTGGAATATTTAACAAGCTTTAGGTTCGTCATTCAGCATCTCTTGGCACCAACCACTTTGGTGATGGTTTTCAAAGTTAATCTGGAGGGAGAATTATGTTTTTACATCGGGATGAGCTTCACTTTGAACTTGATTGTTGAGTAGACAGTTGTCCGTTTAGATCATAACTGTGTGGATTCTCATGTGTCTGTTTAAGCTAGTTTTCCGTGTAAATCTTTGTCCACATAGATCACAACAAAAAGGTTTCTGCCCTGTGTGGATTGTTATATGAGAGTTTAAATTAGTTTTCTGAGTAAATCTTTTTCCACATAAATCGCAACCAAAAGGTTTCTGTCCTGTGTGAATTTTCATGTGTGTGTTTAAATTAGGTTTTTGGGTAAATCTTTGTCCACACTGATCACAGCTAAAAGGTTTCAGTCCTGCATGGATTCTCATGTGTGTTTCTAAGTCTTCCTGTAGTTTTAATCTTTGTCCACATAGCTCACAAGGGAACGGTCTCTTTCTTGTGTGGACTCTCATGTGTTTGTTCAAAGCTGATTTTAAAGTAAATATTTCTCCACACATATCACAACAGAAAGATTTCTTCCGTGCATGGATTCTCACATGTTTGTTAAAATTCCCTTTCAGGCTAAATCTTTTCCCGCATAAATCACAACAGAAAGGTTTCTCCCCTGTGTGGATTTTCATGTGTTTGTTCAAATATTCCTTCTGGTTAAATCCTTGCCCACATAGTTCACAAGAGAAAGATTTCTGTCCTGTGTGGATTACCTCATGTCTGTTTAAACTTGCTTTTTGTGTAAACCTTTGCCCACATATGTCACAACAGAAAGGTTTCAGTCCTGTGTGGATTCTCTTGTGTTTGCTTAAATTTCCTTTCAGGCTGAAGCTGTGTCCACATATGTCACAGAAGCAACGTTTCTGTCCAGTGTGGATTTTCCTATGAATGTTTAAATAGTGTTTTACAGCGAAAGTTTTACCACAATCTTCGCAGCTAAACTTCGCCTCTGTTTGGTCTTTTTTTTGCAAGTCTGCATTGATATCCTCTGTGAAACATGTCTCGTTATCCAGATAGCTTGAAGACCCAATTTCTGAATTAGTCATGTCTTTCTGAAGGCAGCAATTGGGATTGGATTGTTCAGCAAACTCCTCCTTCAAATCGGGCTGTTCTCCTTCAAGGCGGGGGCAGACTCCCTCCCGTTCCTCCTTAATGTCAGGGGGCTTTTGGTCATGTAGGCTCACACAAAGTGTGTGGTCTTCAGGAGGTTCTGCTTTAACCATCAGATTGAAGTCATGATGCTCAGCACTAAGTCTGTGGTCTTCTTGAGATTCTTTTTTAACTACCGGGTTTAGGTCATGATGGTCAGCAGAAGGTGTGTCGTCTTCATGAGCTTCTTCTTTAACCATCAGATTGAAGTCATGATGGTCAGCAAGAGGTCTTTGGTCTTCAGAAGATTCTTCTTTTACCATCACATTCAGGTTATAAAGGTTAGCACAAGGTTTGTGGTCTTCAGAGGATTCTTCTTTAACCATTTGATGTAGGTCATGTGGGTTAGCCCAAGGTATATGGTCTACATTAGGTTCTTCTTTTACCATCAGCTTTGGATCATGTAGGTCAACACAAGGTTTGTGGTCTTCAGGAGATTCTTCTTTGATCATCAACCTTTGCTTGACACCTATAAGAATCATTAAAACACATTATGCATTTCAGAAAGTATTTTTACTTGTTGGCAGGTGGCTCTGCAAACCATGTCGCCGTCCATGTCTCGTCACATGAAACAAACGAGCAGTGGTCTGGACAGTCAGTGTGAAGAGATGGCAGATGAGCAGTAATTATATTCACAGAGCTAAAGTGGAGAGTTGGAGACCTACCTTAAAGAGTGTACAATAGTTTGAAAAGAAAAGTAGTACTGTAGTGTTAATGAAAGGCAGTTTTTCTACTTTGGCTAAAATATCTCTCAGCTCCATATCACAGTGTGTAAATTGGGAGACTTTTAGCTCATTTTCAAGATACAAGATAAAGGTAAAAGATACAGATATACAGATATATAACATCTAATTTAAAATCTAAAATGATATAATCAGACGGACTGTTATAGGCCAATTCTGGTATTTTAAAGCACATAAACATGATAACATGTTTACAAAATAACAAATTAGAGCAGGAGAACGGGGAAGTTTTAACAGAGCTGATGGCAACGCAGAGCCTTTTATTTAAAAAAAAAAGGAAAAAAGAAAGAGGAAATAAAACAGCAGAGGGCGAGCTAATCACCACACAGTCAGTGAGCCATCCTCTGATGTTAGAGCATCTCTAAATTTAATAACTTCAAAATTTAGTTTGTGCTAGGAAATGTTATTAGTGTTAACGCTCACGCTCAGGTAAAGATGAAAGAGATGCAATCTGCATTGTTTTACTAAAGATGGGGTTGAAAATAAACACAACTTTTATAAAGAAACAGTAATAAGAAAAGCAAAGACTACAAAAAGGAGAAGCTGTGGCAGGATTGAAGGAAAATAGAAGAAAAATTTAACAAGATTATTAGAAATTTATACAGTGAGGAAAATAAGTATTTTAACACCTGGCTATTTTGCAAGTTCTCCCACTTAGAAATCATGGAGAGGTCTTAAATTGTCATCATAGGTGCATGTCCACGGTAAGATACATAATCTAAAAGAAATCCAGAAATCACAATGTATGATTTTTTAACTATTTATTTGTATGATACAAATAAGTAAATACGTATTTTAACACCTGTCTATCAGCTGGAATTCTGACCCTCAAAGACCTGTTAGTCTGCCTTCAAAATGTCCACCTCCACTTCATTTATTATCCTAAATTAGATTCACCTGTTTGAGGTCGTTAGCTGCATAAAGACACCTGTCCACCCCATACAATCAGTAAGATTCCAACTACTAACATGGCAAAGACCTAAGAGCTGTCCAAAGACACTAGAGATGAAATAGTTCACCTCCACAAGGCTGTCAATCTCCCTCGGACTGGGGCTCCATGCAAGATCTCACCTCATGGGGTCTCGATGATCCTAAGAAAGGTGAGAAATCAGCCCAGGAGGAGCTGGTCAATGACCTGAAAAGAGCTGGGACCACCGTTTCCAAGGTTACTGTTGGTAATACACTAAGACGTCATGTTTGAAATCATGCATGGCACGAAAGGTTGCCCTGCTAAAACCAGCACATGTCAAGGCCCGTCTTAAGTTTGCCAATGACCATTTGGATCCAGAGGAGTCATGGGAGAAAGTCATGTGGTCAGATGAGACCAAAATAGAATTTTTTGGTCATAATTCCACTAACCGTGTTTGGAGGAAGAAGAGTGATGAGTACCATCAAAAGAACACCATCCCGACTGTGAAGCATGGGGGTGGTAGCGTCATGCTTTAGGGCTGTTTTTCTGCACATGGCACAGGGCAACTGCACTGTATTAAGGAGATGATGACCAGGGCCATGTATTGGGAGGTTTTGTGGAACAACATCCTTCCCTGTGTTCAAACCTGGTGAAGAACTACAGGAAACGTTTGACCTCTGGAATGTAAAACAAAAGGCTACTGTACAAAACTTTGATTTCCTCAGGCGTTCATATACTTATTTACAGCTGTATCGTACAAACAAGTAGTTAAACAAATAATAAATTCTGATTTCAGTTTTTTTTTTTAGATTATGTCTCTCCCAGTGGACATGCACCTATCATGACAATTTCAGACCCCTCCATCCCTTGTAAGTGGGAGAACTTGCAAAATAGCAGGGTGTTCAAATACTTATTTTCCTCACTATATATATATGTATGTGTTTTGTTAAGAATTTATATTGTGTTAAGAATTCAATTTAATTTATATTTTTAGAGCTTGTTATGAATTGTTCTACTAACTCAAAGTGATTTATTAACAGACTTTCGGCTTTTGTTGTTTTTCTCTTTAACATATGAAAATCATTCACAGAAAAAAAAATGACAGAAATACTGTGAAAAGGGCTAGAACACCATGGACTGAGAAATGAAGAGAATTATCTGGTTAACTGTGCATAAGTTCAGCTTCTAGCTCAAAATTTTTCACATCTCCGATGTTGCTGCTATTTTTCTATTACAATAAATATGTCCACAGCTGTTTATTGGTTATTTACTCTCCAGATAAAGAGCATTTATATTGTAAAACCACTATACAGTACAGCACTTATTTGTTTATTTTATTTACCCTGTTACTTATTCTGTCATTTTTATACACTTTCTAAGGTCCACATTGTGTGACCACTTTTGCTACAACCTTTTGCTGATGTAACAACAATTTCCCCATTGTGGGACAAAAAAAGGATTTTCTATTCTACTGTAATCTATTCTCAGGGATGGATTAAAGCAAAAAAAAAAATATCCTGTGTACTGCTGTTGATCTGTTGCCCTGCCCTAGCTGTAATATTCCCAATTCAATTGTGTCTTTAACAATGGGAAACATTAGACAATAACGACTGATAAATGAACATTATGATAAATCAAAATAGATTTTAGAAAGGAGTGTAGTTCTACTTGAAACCCACCATGTCGATCCTCTGGTGCCTCAACTTGGTCCCGAACTCCAAATTCAGAAACTTCGTTAGTGAAGCAGAAAAACATGCTGGCCTCACTTGGGTCTGGGAACAAATAAAATTTAGAAAAATATTTATTTTACTTAGATAGAAAAGAGACATTGTTGGCATATGTTACTTTGATTATGTGAATGTTGCTGTGTTCTCTTACCGGGCTTGACAATACTGATACTTTTCAAGTCTGTTGTTGGGCTGTTGCTGTCAGAGCTCATCTTCTTATCAACAATGGAGAGCACTATAAAGTAAAATCCAAGTTGCAAGAATGAGGAGTTGGTGGGAATGATGGTAGCTGATAAGCTACCGGTCTCTTTGCCAGGAGTTTAATGGTTTCCCAGTGACAGCTGTGGGAGAAGCAGAGGTCAGATAGTCATTAGGAGAATAGAGAAAGGCAATCACTCCTTAATCTAAAGTAACATGTGGCTAAACTACATCCATGATCTCATTAGCTTCCCCAAACACACATGTTTAACCTAACCAAGACCCCACTGCACACATTGCTGTCCAATTGGGTGCCAGACTAAAAAAAACAACTTATCATCAATGTCTTACAAAATAGGGAATTTAAAACAATACTATTCCTTCATCAAAATCATGCACAAACTGGTATTCTGCATAATTCATGCATCTCTGAGAAATCCTCATGAGTTTTACTGACCGAGCAACAGAACTCGACTTATCATATAGTTAATGTCTACATCAATATATATATATTTTTTTTTTTCCTTTGGCCTTGACGGTCTTTGACTTTTTCAGCCTTCAGATGTGGTTTGATACGACAACGTAACAAAATTCCAGCACATAGAGAGTTAGAGGCAGCTTCGCTTAGAGGAGAGTGTTTTTCGTTAGTGTTAGAAGAAGAAAATAACTATATTTCATAACAACTGAATAATCTGTAGTATTAAAGATGATGATTTCATACCATATTTTCCAATAGCTGACTTTAAAAGGCTTAAAAACATGAAATGGGAACTATAATGCTGCACCATGTAGTTGAAACCATCCCTCTAGCATTTAAAATGTCCTATTTGTTGAAACAGTGCATGCTGGAACAGGCTTCGTCATCATAGTCTCAGCTTTAGGTATGAATACAACCCAAACAGACTCATGTCTTCATAGAGAGTTAAGCTGTCCTACACGTCCACCAGGTGCAACGACCCTGAACAGAATCTGACACAATAAGCTCCCTCGAACTCTGTGGTTGAGGAGGTGATATATCCCATCCCTCAAATGAGCTAACTACCAGCATCCCTCTGCTTACTCCCCATGCACCTCAGGGTTTTTTAGCAAAACCACTTCGGTGGCATTGTTTCAAATTTGTCTACACATGGGGCTGAGTTACACTTGAATGAACGAGAAAGAGACACCTGAAAAGAGAAAAAGATGAACAGTCATCAAAAAGCTTCAATTCAAACGTCTGCCCTCTTTGCCTCTGAGTGCAATATAAATGCTGGAGAAGGATCACATCAAATGGTTTGTTTTCTCTTTAAATTGTGCTAATGGCCTTTTTTTTAGTCCCAGTTTTAGTCCAAGTTTTGCACACAAGTTAAATAATTATTGCTCAGTCTAGTTTAATAGTTTCCTGTTGGCATTTAGGAGTAATTAAACACAAATATTTTAATTCTTAAAGCTTTCAGGTTTGCTTCTCAAACCCATTGAAGATCCACAAAAAGAAAAAGAACAAATTGCATTTTATTTTTCAAAGGATCAGCCACCCAAGAAAAGAACAACCGCATACGGAGAGGATGAAGAACAGCTCAGTTATCCTGGATTCATAGAGGAGAAACCACAGGGATGTTCCTCTTTTATTATTGCTTACTGTATTCATTTATCTTTATTTTGGTCCATTGAATATGCTTAAAAACTTAATTTCCATCACACCTTCCAAATGAAACATCCAGAGAAGTGCTGTCTCCTGTCATGGTGAGATTTTATAAAATCTACAGACTCCTGTAAGGTCTGAATTGTTTAGCTGTTTTGTCAATTGTAAGAAAAACTGATAACATAATGAATTAAGATTTTTAATCCTAAGCCTATTGCCAAATATTCATAAACAGTGTAGGTTGCATAGGTTTTGGTTGCACTGGTTCCTGTATTAGTGGCAGTAATCCAGTAATAACTTTTTGGTTTTCCATTGTTTAATTTACTAGAAATGCAGAGAATAATTAAAGAACAGTTGTGAAATTCTTAGTTTACAGTATATTTCAGATGCAAGTATTTTAGAAGGGCTGATTCTGCTTTACCACCGTCACCAGAATGTTGAAAATAATGTATACTGTGAGAAAAATGTTCCACATAACTACAGAATTATTCCACATTTTGCACTTTGTTTCAGTTAAATCCTCTGAAAACCTGCAACCTATCAATGCAGCTATCCTCCTCTAACCCTGACAGGGATTCCTGTCCAAATAATTTCAAAATCTCACCCCAAGGTTTGGTGAAAAGTTGGCATCCCTGTAATATTTTTGACCACCACAGAAGCTAACGGTTAGCTTTAGCTAAAGGAGACGTTTAACTCCTAAAAGGATGCTAACAAGTCTATTTCCGATTACCTGGAACCCAATATTGAAACCTTAATTAATTATATAAATCCAGCTTTTGCTAAAGGGTTGTTGCTATTATCAAACACCAGCTTTTGTACTATAAATAACCGGTTTTACCTGCCGATGGTAGCTTTTCGCACCAATGATTTTCTTCTTCTGTTTCCTTTTCTTCTTCTCTGTTTTTTTTTTTTTTTACGGCTGGCATCTAAAGTTAGGAAGCATGATCGCCGCCTACTGTTCAGGAGTGTGAACCAGTATATCTGGCTCATACAAGCCTTTTTTGGTTTTCCTAATATAATGCCGTTTTATATAAAGATCTTAGCTGCTGTTCTACTGAAGAGTTATGAGACATTTATAGTTACCAAAACAGGTAATGTGAGAACTTAATTACTTAATAATAACTTGCTAGGATACCTGAGCTAGTTGGAAAGGGATAGATACCTCAAAACTGCTTCCCTCTCTAGGGAATCTTTCGGTTAGTCTTTTTTTTATTTTTAAGTCCTAGATTGGAGTTTTCTTAACCTTATTAAAGCATCGCATAGCACTGTGCCCATCCATTGCTGCACATTGGTGGTCAGCTGGCTGAAAGGGCGGATTAAGTAGTTTGTGAAGTATTTCCAGGCAGTCTTGTTATGCTTTTGTTGATCTATTTAGATTAGAATAAAGAAAATACATATGATTTTCTGTGCAATCAGAAAGTTTACTCAAAATTAAACTTGCTTTTAAATCAAAACTGCATCTAATATTTGTAAAGATAACATGACTGTAATAGCTATTATGTTCCATTAATGTGCTTGAAGTAGGAATAAATACAGCAATTTAGTTTTGAATAAATACATTTCTGTTGCCATTTTTTCCCCATTCATAGTAATTATGCAGTTGAATTTTTAATTAAGGTTATTCTAAAGCTGTTTCTATAAGCAATTGATAGAAGATCTTATACACAATTTCAAAGTCTTTAAATCTCAGAAATTAATATAATGATGTGATTGTTTTAGGTGCTTATTCTTGTGTCAGAAGAAGCTTTGAAGGTCATGAAAAATAATACTGCGATCACAATATTGGTTGAAAACAATTGCAAGTTAGATTTTTGGCAAAAATCGTTCAGACCTACTACTGATTAAAGTGAACCACCTAGTTTGATATGAATAGTCATACCACTACCTCACCGTTGCTCCTTACCTACTACACTTTAACGTAAAAGTATATCCACCTGTATATAAGCCATCCGGATTGTACATATTTTTATTTTTCATCTTTTACTTCTTTATTTCTTTTTATTTTGTTTTTCATTGTGTGCGATACAGGTACACTTGCACCTTAATCCTTATTTACCTTGATATACTGTATATACCTGGATATACTGTATATATATATATTGTTTATTGTCTATTCTTAATGCACCTTTTCCTCCTTGTTTGCACCTTCTTTGACTTCTATGCCAATATGTGACAAGTGAATTTCTCCGCTGTGAGATCAATAAAGCTCATCTAATCTAATCTAATCTAATCTAATCAAATCTAATCTAATCTAATATATTCATTGAATGGAAACCAAACCTGTAAAGTTTCTATTTGTTCATAAAGAATGTTGGATTTCTGTGGTCTACTGGAACTACATTCAAAGAAAAACAGATACCAATCAACTTTTTAGGTTAATAAATTGAATCTAGATAGATAGAATATATAGAAGGTTTAATATCCGACTTACTCTTTTAGACTTGTTCAGGAAAAGGAAAGTTTAACCAGCATAATGCATGATACATATGCATGGCACATTTTCCACTACACAACGCCATTTCAATAATTAATTAAAAATTTGCTCAGTGTCGCAGTGAGTAGCACTGCTGCCTTGCAGCAAGAAGGTTCTGGGTTCGATTACCAGCCTGGGGTCTTTCTGCCTGGAGTTTGCATGTTCTCCCCCCGGAAAATGACTTCCAGGGGAAGAAGCTCTCTGAAAACTATATATTTACTCTTAAATATTGAGTTTTTTGCAATTGCAAAAATAGATTTCGCTCTTAAAGCATTTTTCTTCTAAGTCTTTGCTCTTGATTCAGGATTTTTCTCTCGATGTAAATAATGTATCATGGGCCACTCTGTGTTCCTATTGGCCAGTCTCAGTAGAACTGACAGCTAAGTGGTGATAATAAATCCAGATATCAGCCAAAAACTGAATCTCTCAAAATAACAGCCTGCCTCTAAAATCTCTATTAGAAAACTCATGGAAAACAATAGCTGATGAATAATAAACGGTCAGTTGTTTTTATACCTGATGTTTTAAGTATTGTTCTATCTGAGAAATACCACTCGCTCAAGCCTTTTCAATCATCCTACCCATCAATTAAGTGATAAAAGTCATATGATTAATTCTGATTTCGTATAATGTCAGTACTCAAAGCTGGAATATACGTATAGTATCAGAAATGAAGATGATATATCGTGAAAATCTAAGTTATAACTTTAAATTGCTTTCTTGCTGGCATTTTTAACCGGGAGCTTGGCTCAAAGCTTTAAGAGTTATCCTGACTGTGATGTTTCTTATCTTTTTTGCCTTATAAAGTGCTTTTTATATAGTGAAATACTGTTTATGTGGGTTTGACTGAACTATTGACAGGGCAGGACTGACCAACACTGTTATTCTCTCCTCACAGTTCTAAGCTGTAGCAGGAAGGATGGATTAAAACGCATTAAATTCAACAAATCAAATCAAGTCAAATGTATTTGATTTAATAGTGGATATTTAATACTGGCTTTAATCAAGAATAAACAGCTAAACACCGATCACTTTTCTGCAGAATATATAATGCCTTTTTTTTGAATACGCCTTAAAAGAGAAACAGGAAAACATAGCCTACAGGAGAAACATGGACCGAATTCAAAATAATAAAAAAATATATCAGATATGCACAAACAGAACGTTACCATCAGAACAAATAATTTTCTAACTTGATGAAAGGTTCTGGTTGCAGCTCAGTCCTCTGAGGTCGAGCAGAACAAGAGAAAGGGATTACTTTTCTGATCATTATTCAGATCAGATGAACCTCCGACTGAATGACACTGAGGAATGTCCCATTCAATTTACCATGTGGATGGGAATAAAAACAATCATTTTCCTTTTAGGTAACTTTCACATTTAGGTTAACGTTTTAAATAGAGGTGTTTTATAAGCCCTATAATGAGTTGGTTTGGAATAAATTCCCATGAAGGAGTTTTGAACCATTATGTAACCAAAAAAATGAGGATATGAGCTCATTCTTTAAGGACAGACAGGTAATGACCAAGTTCCATTATTACTGAATATTCATGAAAGAATTGTAATTTAATCTAATTATAAAGGAGAATATTTTCCAATTATGGATTGTATGTCTTTTAGAGTCTTGTCTGGCCTTTGATGTTCCCAGAAAGGAATTGCATGACAAAAATAAGAGGACCAAAAAACAAAAAAGTATTTTTTTGTGTCTAGTTGAAGTTTTTCTGAATTCAGGACAGCATAAAGTCGTCCCTGCTCAAGAATATGCATTTTATTGCCACGTTTGGTGAGTTTGCTGGTAACTGTAACAGCCCTGATCTCATCTAGTATTGAAGGAGCCCCTTCCTACCTTAGAAGCAGCATTTATTCCCAGGGTTGTTAAGTAAACATGGTTTCCCTTTCTCATCTTGATCTACAGACCATTAAGGTTTTATATTACATTCTAACTTTGTTGGAAAGGCTTTTCTAATCTAATATTAACCTTTTCTAAACTTTAAACTTTGCTTTAGAGTTCTAGCATGCTACATGAAGGTTTGGCCCTAGCAGCACTTGTGTGTTTACCTGTTTTTGTTTCTCTGAGCTGCCCTGTATTATAAGGTTATAATAATGGAATGCTATATTGCAATACAACCTAAGTTAAATGTGGATCATAAGCTGACCACATTTCTGGGTGTTCTACATTCCAATGAAGAAGAAACATAAAAGTTTCAGTCATGAAGCTAACTTTGATTTTTTTAAAAACAACTGCGCTAAAAATACCAAACAGACACTCACACTGTTCAATTCTTTTGACATGATCTATGGTTAAGTTAGAGCTGAAAGTCGGTTTGGTTCAGTCAGGATATAATCATATTAAAATGTAAAAAAGCAGAACAAAAAAAATCACTGATGTAAAAATGAAATGGTCACATTTAACGGGAGCACAAAGACAGTTAACTATATCAACTGATTCTCTGTCAATAAATCAACTCAGTTATGTATTTTTATATGACAAACTACGGTAAATGATGAATTTAGCGTCAAGAGAAAGCTGCGTTCCTTCATTTCCAGGGTTGTCCGGGTTTTTTGAGCTCAGGCTGTTTTACCAGGTTCTTCCTCTTTAGGCTTTCCATTTGTGAGATTGCAGAGCTGTATATCGCACCAAGTCTCTCTGTTCCCTTAAAGCTGTTGGATCTTTTTGGGGAAGATAATGAAGGGTAGACAGTTTGTGACTTTGCAACATAGTTAATCACATCAATTCCTTCATAAACTGTACGGCTTTTTGTTCGTGTTGCTGCCAGAGCCTCCCCGTAATTAAACCGATCTGCAGACAAGATTCTGGGAGGACTGTAATGATAATGATGCCCATTTCTTCCAGTCTTTGCTTTATTGTCCTCATTCCCTCCTACATCTTTACTAGGAGGGACAGAGCTTTGGTCAAATGTCCAGGTTGGGTAAATCTCTGTGCTATTATAACAGAATCGCTGCCTTGTGTCCGTGTCTGATGAAAGCCACAAGCCTTGTATTTCCTGTGATGCTAAATGGTTTGATTGTTCATTTCCTCCTCTTAAACAGCTTAAACGTGTCTCCTTGACCACCTTGTCTTCAATTGTGGTTTTCAGGAGCTCCTCGGAAATAAGATCCGGTCTGGTTTCTCCCTCATGGAATCCATGTTCAGTTTCATCTGAAGGAGCTTCTGGAGATCTTCCATTATTCTTCATGGCCCGCCCACTCACTTCAAACACAAACAAGCACAGGTATTAAAAACACCGAAAGATGCTTTAAATAAGAATTGAAGATCTTGTTCTTTAAAAAAGCAGGGTTTTTACATAACAGTCCTATAGTTTAAGGCTGAAACAATTAATTGGATTAATCAATTATTGAAATAAGCATCAATAACTTAGCACTTGATTAACTGGAGTATAGAGACTGTAAAACATGCATTTAG